CTCTCATTCCCTTTCATTTTTCTTTTCAAAATTCCCAGACCAAAGGAAGCTCTCTACAGATTAGCAGACCACCAAATCTTCAGTATTTCATGTTTGGAATATGAGAGGGAGAAAATCTCTCTGAAACCTAAATATTTTCCCCCTCTAAAGACCAGACCCATTTTTGGGGAAAATATGCAAAAGTGTTCTCCTCAGGCTGAATGTTGTGTGCAAAGCTTAATGCACAGCTTTATAGCAGATATAGAAAATAATCAAAATGTGGGGATTTCTGGGAATACCGGCAGATCTTTACTGTGACTACAGAGCAGATCCTGACACACTATAATACTGTTTTTGTCTTAATCGTCAAAAGTAAGCTATAGAGAACAAAAATTCTTTGTTTGACAGAAAAGCAATTGCTATTTCTTGTAAAACATATAATATATTCCAGAAGACCTAAGGGTTTACTTTCCAATAAGGATAGAAAAAGATATGCGCCCCACTGTGAGCTCACAGTAAGGCTGTTTCATGTAAAAAGTTGGTAATTAGTCCCTGAGTGAATAAAGTAGAAGAGATAAGAGACTGATACTTACTGTAGCAACACAAAACACTTTTTCTAGCTGCTAGGATTTAAAGGGTGTGTGGGCGGGAGGAGGGGGCCCTATTCCTACTCACTTAATTTACAAGTGTCTAAACCTCGGAAAATGATTTCTTGCATTAAGCTTAAACATGTGTACTTCAAATTGTTACTAACTGATGTGAAGATTGATAAGAGACATTTCAATTCTGAAAAGCAGACAGGAATGAGGAAATACATGAAAGTGTAAGAGTGTTGCACTGTACACGTCAGTAGTAGATTTCACACCAACTGTACACCACTGCCTTCAGCAGACTTACACCAGCATTGCCTGATGTGTCACCAAGTTAACTCCTCCGCATTCAAAGGATCTTTACCAAAAAGGAAATAGTTTGAAAACTAAATCACGTACCTTTATCCAGAGTTATAAATACCAAGAACAAAAACAAACCAAAGCATAGGAAAACTATCTGCTTAAAACCCAAAGTTATTATTTAATAACATTTGCATCACTATCAGCTAAATACTAAGTACCAGAAGTGAAAACTATAGCATTTCTTGTTCTACCTGCAAAACTCAGAGCTACTGGAAATAACTTAATATTAACATGTTTTCCTTTTTTGTTATTCATCTTTATTTAGAGCTAGAGTTTGTGATTCTCTCTCAAAAACAACTACCTAATTTATATTTCAACTATGTGTTTGGCAAACCTCTTTTTTAACAGTGTACAAAATACCATACAAGACGTGACAACCGAGCTTTACACAGGGCTCTCAGCACAAATCATTTGACTTTCAGTTCAGTTTGTTTCATTTGCTTTACTGCAGCACTTAATGTACACGAGACACCAAAAGTCATATCCAAAAATGTTGGTTGCTTCATGAAGACTCACTCCGAAATACGTAACTGGCCATCAGGTTGCCTCTACATCCCCACTATGATGACTGCAGCCCTAGAGAGATCTACAGCTGAATTGTGTAGTGATGCCCTAAACTGTAACCATTTGGACTACAAGTACCTGATTCAGTATAGAAACAGCCAGGAAAATTCTACCTGTTTTCACTGGTTAACTAATAACATCTTGTTTACAAGCACTGAGCCTCACCACAAATGTCAAGAATTTGCATAGAGAAAATACACTAAAAGTATTTCTGCAGGCTGGATGTGGTGTAGAAGCCCCAGAACTACTTTTTGTTTACTGTTAGTGTTAACTGGAGTTGTTTTTATATCTGACTTCAGTGTTTATGTTGCCACATAGGAGTATTTAAAGAACTGTCCACTGAAATGAGAAAAAAAACCCCACAACACAGACCACCTTCCCTCGTAGTTCTGCAACTTCCCTACAATTCAGCCAGGTCACACAGCTGATGGATGTATAGGAACACCTACACAATGCACAGGTACACCTGCTGCCAGAAGCCACCCATCCTGTATATGGGGGTAATATCGGTAAAATATTATGCCTCCTTTGGAGTACGAGATCAATACAGCTGAAGACAGAATGCATCTCTATAAAACATATGCTGAATTCACCACTTTTGCAGGAAAATACAGAAAAGTTGCAATTCTCAGATTTTGTTTCTTCTTGATCTTTGTAAAAATTGATTTTGTGATGCTGTCAATAAATATATATTACATGCAGTAACATTTAGATGGAGAGTAAAAATGAGAATGAACCTGGTTTTCCAAGAAGTCAGCACAATTTAATCTCACAGTATGATTCAAAACAGATAAAGAGCAACAGAAAGATGCCCTTTGAATTTAAAGGGGGTTGAATCAGCTAACAGTTTCTAAAACTTCCTGACATTTAAAGTTTTTTTTAACAGGGAAAAAAAGTTTGAAGTGCTGATTCTGAAATCACTATACATTTTATCTTGCTGTTTAACACAGTTTCATTTCCAGCATGGTCCCTGTTTTCCGTGGGAATTTCTTATGTTCTGACAATTCATTCTTGATTGTATTTTGCATCTGAAAACAACCTATTTAGAACAAATGTGATAGATTATAGTGTTCCTTTCTTAACTTTTTAAAAATATGCTTAGAACACCCAAATTTTTAAACCAGGTTACACTCTCTACAAAACACCTTGGGAGTTTTATGTAGCTATGTAAAATAATAAACAGCTACATTTTGTGTAAGAAAGTGTCCAGTGTAATACATGAAAACATAATTATCCAAAGATCTCCAGAGACACTGGCAAAAAGACTTTGGATAAATGAGTTTGAATAGCTAAGGGATCTTTAAAGCACAGCAGCTTTGAAGTTTCCAGTTCTCCTCACTCTGGTTGATGCAAAGTTCAGACGATTCTTGTTGGGCAGCCGTCATAATTTAAGCGTTGCTAGCAAATTCCTAAAGCCAGCTAGCAGAATTTGGATGGAGGTCATGTCCCCAGTTCCCAAACAAACAGCACAAATCTGGGAGCCGCTTGCTTCATTTCCACAGTGAAAGGAGGAGAGGAAAGAGGCAAGGCAGTAATGACCACAGCAGGAAACACTCTCACCCCAGCTCATGCAGGAGCGAGGCTGCAGTGCCGCGGGCAGCCAGCACGCTCCAAAAGGCTCCTGCCCAAAGCCTGTGGCTCAGGCCCTGGCTGCGTGCGCTGCCTTAGGCTGCCACTGGGACCCTTGGCATCCCTCCTACCCTCTTCTCCTGAAGAAAATGTTTGCCTCCTCCAACCATTTCTCTCATGTTACAGCACACGGTTGTGTGCAGGAACTAACATTTGCTCTATTTAAAGTACTTCTAGGAAGAGGTGTACTGAGACCCAATTTACACAGCCTCCCAGGCTGCTGATGGATTGGGGGACCAACGTGTGTTCCTGTTTTGCAAAGGAAAACACTCATTTCCCCTCCAATCAAAGGCTAGCATTTACAATGAACCAAAATGTGCCAAATTCCGCCAAATTCCCAACCTCCTGTGCTCCAAGAACATCCACAGAAGAGTAGATTTGTCTTTACTGAAATTGAATTAGTAGCACAGTTATGCTCAGTATAACCATGCTTTAGCATTACGAGAAACTGTTACACAACTCTACTGACGGTATAAACGATCAAACACCAACCAAAACAAGTTGTCCCAGCAAGAGCACTTTGATCACTCTTTCTGCATTATAGCAGCACTCTAATTTGCAAGCTTCAGAATAACTTCTGCATTCTCCAGACATGCCAAAAGACGATGCCATCAGAGTAATTTTTACACAGGGAAGCAAATAATGAGGAGTTAATACACTGGCATTTACCTCTGACCAGCATTTTCAGAGCTCGAACTTGCTGTATAGGAACAGAAGATAATCAAACAGAGGCAGAGTGAACAAACTGTACCTGCCTTACTGATGTAAATGCCCGTGTTGTCCAATACCAAAAAAAAAAAAAAAAAAAAAAAATGGGGGTATTTATGATTTTGTAATTGGAAAGCCATTAAACATTATCACCACAAATAAACAGATATTATGGTCTGTATTTTACCATGTTTAATAGGACGTGGAATATGCACAAAGAGAGGTTTCAGTGATCACTAAAGAAAGGCCTTAGCCAGAAGACTGAAACATTATGGCTTCATCATCGTCCTAACAACCTCGCTTTTTCATGTGCCTTTTTCACTCGCTGTATTTTCATTCTTCCAGTGGAAAGGCTGAAAATTAAACAGCTACAGCCTCTGGGGACATCTGTGTGCTGACAATCTCCTTCTCACAGCTGAAAGGAAAAGCCCAAAAAAAAAAAAAAAAAAAAATCAGTGTTGGATTTCAGAAACCATATTCAGGTTAAAGGGCACCATTCTTATCTGGTATTCCACCCAAAGGACAATGATTTCATTTTATAAAGATCATTAGTCAGTGAAATATATATTTTAGAGAGTTTCTAGTAGGGAAGATTATTTTGGCAGTCACTGGAGTGTACCAGATGGTTCATTAACATAGGCTAGACAAGTCAAAGGCTTTCAGAATCATTTAGAAAATGTCAAACAGAAACAAGAACCCTGTCACTTTATATTAGAATTAACTACATCATACCCTGGACACAGATTTCACCTTGGGTCAGAAAAATTAATACAGAATTATATGAATTGTGTAACATACTAGGTTAAAGATAGGGCTTCCTCTTGGGACTCATTTGCTAGCAATATATTATGGTCCTCTACTTTAGGAATCCTCAACCTTTCTTTTTGTAAGCTATGAAAAGAGCTGACCTTGCTCAGACTCCATTGGTGTCTAATTGATTTGAGGTATATGCAGAATTTCAACAAGACACTCCGCTAAAGCTCTTTTGTGATCATTTTCCCAGGAAAGTTGGCAAAAGGGTTCACTGAATATTCAGCAGCTTGTAAAGTATGCTTTTGTCAGGAGGAAAAAAAAATACATGCATTTAGTGAAACACTGCCTCCGTAAACAGTAATTAAAATGCAACTGAATTGTTGTTATTTTTTCTTTTTTTTTATTATCATTCAGATGTCAAAAATCTTGAGAACTTCCAGCTCGTGGAAGGTGTTCAGGAGCAAGTGAATGCTGCTCTGCTGGACTACACAATGTGTAATTACCCACAGCAAACAGACAAATTTGGGCAGCTTCTCCTGCGACTACCAGAAATCCGGGCCATCAGTATGCAGGCCGAAGAATACCTCTACTACAAACACCTGAACGGGGATGTGCCATGTAATAACCTTCTCATTGAAATGCTGCATGCAAAGAGAGCATAAATTATACCCATTACAGCTTCTGCTTTCAAGGAAAAAAAAAAAAAATATTCTGAACTGCTCCAAGCAACGCTAATTAAAACGTGGTTTTAAGACTTTACAAAATGGTATAATAATCAAATACTAATAGTAAATAAGTGATGTATCAGGGTATTTGTATTGCAAACTGTGAATCATATGCTACACATCCCCAAAGGAATCTATATAAGACTTTATACTGGAGTGAAGTCAACTTACCAAGTGGATACTATCACCGATGTTGGCGTGGAAAAGGACAGAATGATTCTTGTATATTTAACTCTGCTGATTGCCAATACGAAGAAATTTAGGAGGACAAAAAAAACACTGATCTGTATTATTGAGCTGAGATGGTGGGGAATTTGAGTGCACTGAATTCCTTCACTGTATAGCAGGACTTCTAAAACAGTTACAATAGATGCCAAACTGCATCTATAGCATATTCTGCCATCCTTCCAAGGACCCAACACTTACTTCTTCTGTGATAAATGATGTGGCATCCATTCAATGGGCTGTGAGAGAGAGCTGGCCTAGGCCACGCACTGTGTAGTGTCGCCACCAAAACCTGGGAGGCTGCCGTTGCCTGTAGGTCTCTCGGGCCTGCAAACCGCTCCTACGAAGAGTCTGTTATCCAGTTAGCTTGGCATCCTTACTGTGTTCTGAGGTTTGTTTTGTCACGTGTTCATGTTGCTCTGTCAGGCAGTATCCCTCTTCTACTACTGTTAGTGGATAGCTATTAAATAGCTAAGATAAATATTCCAAAACAAATTAGCCAATTCAGCTATATACTTAACTAGTGCAGTGGCTAAAATATGGCTCTGCTATATATTCATGGCCATTTCCAAATAAAGGAAATGGAGATATTTTAGCCATCACAAACAAGAGCTTCTTTAACACACACAAAAAACCATATTTTCTACAGCACCAAATACTGATGTTATAAAACTAAAATTAAAAAAAAAAAAAAAAAAAAAGCATTTAGTAAAGAAAGAAAAAAAAAAAACCAAATACTGATGTTATAAAACTAAAATTAAAAAAAAAAAAAAAAAAAAAGGCATTTAGTGATGCAAGAAGAGAGAAATAAATTTTATGACCTGATGATGCCATGGACCTTATTAAGAAACTATCTTTAAAGCTGCCAGTAATTAAGAAACTAAATTTCAACTCAAACATCCACTATCTAATGTAATTTTTTCTTTTTAAAAAGTTAAGTAATACATGTCTTTTACGCAAAGAAAGAAGAGTGATACTGCTGTGTCTATGTAGACCAAAGTCTGCTGCAGAACAAATATTAGAGAAGAACAAACAATTCTCTCTCTGTCCAAATGAGGATATCAGTATTAACATGTAGTGCCACAGTTATAAGTCTTGCCTTATTTCATTATCCTTAAAGGTAACTGTGCAGGTGTGGATCAACATATGTTTAAAATAAAGTATTAATCTCTAACATTAACGAAAACATAGTGTTTACATTCTTTAGGTCCTGTGGGGAAAAAACTGTGATAAAATTGCAGAGCAGTGATTTCCTTATTATTTCTTTTAAATTGGTAATTATTTTACCAGTACTTAATTACTGTATGTCGTGAGACACTAAAATCAATAGGGGTATTTCATTTTGACTTTAATTTTTGAGATTATCGGCTGCACAATCACTTGTAGAAACTGTATAAAATCCTAATCCTTTAATTTTTTTCATGAAGATTGCTGGCTTTTGAATAGTTTATTTATATTGTATATGATAGTTTCCACTGTAGACAATTATGATGCTAATTTATTGTTCTTTGGTTTCATCTTTACATAAGATATAGCCAGAATGAAGAAGCCAAATATATGTGTTTACTGTAGCATGTCTTCAAGTTAGTGGAACATAGTTCAGGGACACACAAGGGTCTTTACAAATTAAAATCATTCACTTGATTAAATGTCTGTAAATCTTCATAATCCTAAATGTAGTTTATTTAAATCTATTGTAAATTATGTGAGTTATAGCTTTTTCTGTTTCATGTGAACTTGAAAAGGTGCATCTCTCTTACTTTTGTCCAACCATTCATGCATTGTATACCAAAGACATCAGTTATTACATCTGCATTAGTACAAAGCACACTACTTTAATCGCCTGTATTAATCAGCTCTAATATTCTGTCCATGCATAGGGTACAAACACAGCAAAGCCTAGTGTCTGCCACTCCTAGATGCCTGTCTTCTATCACAGAACACACGTACTGTCGTACGGACCAAAAGCAAACAAAGCACAGCTCCCTCGGTCGGCCCACACAGCAGACGTGCACACGCTGTTTCAATAACAGCATTCTCCCTCAAGCAAACTAAATTAACAGAAAGTAAGACGCAGGAGGCAATTGATGGTGGCTGTGAAATACGCATACCTATGTGTACAAGATAAGTATGGTCATTCCTTCCTTTCTTAAAAGGAGAACAAAGCATATTTCAAATGTTTGCATTATGTATTTTCTCTTTTTTTTTTTTTTTCCTGTTGAAATGTTTCAGTGAATCTCACTGAATACTAAAGAAAAAAGCTTAAAAAAAATGTTGCTACCTGTATTCACAGCACCATTATCTGTATACAGGACAAAAGAATTAAAATAAGGTCATAAAGAATTTTTCATATAGTATACTGGAAACAATTTCAAATAAACTAACATCTATTTGCCCACATCTGTGGTTCCAAGAATCCTACCAGATTGCCCAAAGTACGCGAACAAATTAAAAAAAAAAAAGAATTGCCAACTTTCCCCTCATGTTAATTGTTAACTACTTTGTAACCAGACATTTACTTCTGACTGCCTTATTGATTACGGGACATATTAGTAAAAGCAGACTAAAATTCAAAGGGTTTGGCTTTGGCTGGTTTATTATAGTTGTTCTGTGTTTGTAAACAGACAATCTGTAAAGTCTGACTATTTGTATTACAGTTTTTTTTTTTTTTTCCTGTTGAAATGTTTCAGTGAATCTCACTGAATACTAAAGAAAAAAGCTTAAAAAAAATGTTGCTACCTGTATTCACAGCACCATTATCTGTATACAGGACAAAAGAATTAAAATAAGGTCATAAAGAATTTTTCATATAGTATACTGGAAACAATTTCAAATAAACTAACATCTATTTGCCCACATCTGTGGTTCCAAGAATCCTACCAGATTGCCCAAAGTACGCGAACAAATTAAAAAAAAAAAAGAATTGCCAACTTTCCCCTCATGTTAATTGTTAACTACTTTGTAACCAGACATTTACTTCTGACTGCCTTATTGATTACGGGACATATTAGTAAAAGCAGACTAAAATTCAAAGGGTTTGGCTTTGGCTGGTTTATTATAGTTGTTCTGTGTTTGTAAACAGACAATCTGTAAAGTCTGACTATTTGTATTACAGATGTTCTGCAGCTGCCTTGGATTTAAATCCATGCAACTCTTAGAATGTGCAGTGAGTTACTTGTTGAAGTTGAAGTTCTCTTACTGTATCGGTGAAATACATATTGTCATGTCAGTTCTTGCCCGGAGTTTCTCATCGCCAATGGAATTATTTTTTTTTTTCAGTATTTCAATAAATATTGATATGCCCGTGCTGATTACTTTATAATTGTCTTTATGATAACATCATTCCACTGAAATGAAGCACCGGTCAAAAAATCAGTTACTCAGAAGAGTAGAGTAAAATGCAAGAGAAATAAGAGCGCCAAAGAGTATCTGATGCAGAACAGAAGACACAAATGGGGAGAGTGGCGCCGTCAAAAGCCGTCTGAGACGGGGATGGTGAAATTGCCTAGGCTGAAACAAAGTAAGCACAGCTAAACAGACCAGATATGATAAATCTCTAGTAAAAAATGAATTTACCAATTGCTACTTACAAATGAATAAATTTCATCTCATACTGCACACTTAAGTTTCGCTTTACATGTTACCCATAAAGAGTTAAGCAGCCAAAGCGTGGCGGGGGGGCAAATGACAGAACAAAAGAAAATCAGGTAACAGGATCCAGCAGCTCAGGATAACCTCTCAGCAATGTAAATACGCGGCAGGGCCAGGGGCAAACCCACAGCTTCCAACACAACTGCCAGCGGAGGCTGCCAAGGAGGCAGATGTTACTGCTACTAGAGAAAAATATTTTCCTAAAGTTGCCCTCTGGCTCATCTGAGCTGTTTCGAGAGCAGGAGGTGAAGTGGTCCAAGAGAGCTTGTCAGCAGTACCCTACTGTTCTGAGACCACGTCCAGTGCCTCCCCTGCACTGTCTGGTAGCTGAAAAGGGGCTCTTCTCTGAGGTGCCAAATGTTGTTAATCCTTCAAGGGGGAAAAACAGGGCTATAATTAGTTATTTACAAATCCAGCGCTTCAACAAAACAAAGCCAGTTCAGTGTCGCAATAAAAACAGAGTAAAACAAATAGGATTAGGTGGCTTACAAGTGAGAAAGGATTATTTTAACTTTTAGGAATCATAACTGAAAACTATGATTTTGCATAAGACCCAGGGGAGATTTCAGGGTCGATATGTTTTACATCGTTTTCCTTATAAGATATGTATTTCTGGGTGGCATCTTTAGTACATACACTACACATTTAAATTATGAGGGGATTTATTTTTACCTGAGTTTGACACTGGTTCTGGAACAATCTGCTGTATGTTTTTATTAGAAACATGGAAAGAGTGAGTTCAATGTAACATAGGTCAAGTCAGTACAATACTTAGTGATCTTGACAATTTCCTGGAATACTGAATAACACTTTTTATTAACCCCTAATTCGAAGCCCGTAGTCTACATACATCACAAAAGTTCTAACAACATTTCTGCCTTCTCCAATATAGTTGCTATCGTTTTCCAGGGAAATTCTATAGAGGTGCATCTGCTGCACTCTGGAATTTGGAATGGCAGACAAAAAGCATTAAATTAGTGGCAAGCCTAGAAAATTACAGATAAACTTTTAGGGGCATCAGATCCTAGAGGTATATAACCCCATGATGCTGGCAGAAGCCCAGTCCAGCAATTTCAGTTGCATGTAAGCCTGTAGAGAAAAGATTCATCTTCTAAGGGCAATTTGCCAACACTATGAAAACCCTTGCTAAACGATAAAGCAGAAGAGGGCCTGACCCTCAGATGGAGCACAGACATGCCTACCCTCATGTCAGCGGACTTAAGCTGAAGGGAGCAACATTACTTGACAGATAAAGTCTGGTCCAGCACACATCAGTGGGACAAGACAAAGCTTCCCTTCAGCAGATATACTTTCCAAACCCCTTATTTTTGCTCCTCTGCAGAACAAAACCCTCTCCAATTTATTGACAGCCTTGAGGTCTGGCACGCAAGCTCAGACTTGCAATACTAGGTGAGATTTCACCATTGCCCTGAGAAGGCCCTGACCCTTATTTCCTGGTCACTGTAATTTCTTTTAGTCCTAAATTAACTATCAGGCTTATGGCAGTTCCTGCTATGTATGTCCTGTGCGCAGCCAAGTGGATAATTTAGCTGGAAGGCAAAGCAAGATGCTGGTGGAATGCAGCCTCCTGACGCTGTCCCAGCTGTAGTGTCCTGCTCAGACCCCTGGTGCCCTGCCTCAGGAAGGACTACAGGCTTTAACATCAGTTGGCAATAAAACACAAGGTGAAACAAAGAGCAGAAAAACATAGTGCTCGAGTCACAATTTTGTCCACTCCCACCTCACTCTTCCTATGCTCCAGGATCAGTGAATTCCCTGTAAAAGGGGGAAGTGACTGTGGGTTTGAGACGCAGGATGTTAGGACGCTTCCAGTAACACCAGTTGTTTATCGTGCTGCTGCAAACCAAAGCCTTCACGGAGCACGAGCCCTCCCTGTGCGGCATCACGCCAATCACCTGCGACTGATGCTGCTGAACACTTGCTGGGTACTACTGATCAGGGCTGCCCCCTGCAATTCTGTAGTCAAACAGGACTCTGCATCACAGAGAATAAAGCGTGTTTGCAGGCGGGACCCCAAACGAGTCACTGT